AAAAAAAAAACCAAACCCCCCAAAACCCTTTTTTTTTTTTTTTTTTTTTTTTACTTGGACTCTCCCAGTAGATGGACAATGAGTTCATATGTGGACAGGACGATGGCTGTGTTGGGGATTTGTCTAATTAGCTGTGGAATGAGTCCTCTATAAAAAGCTGCATAGCCTTCCTCCAAAGCTATTAACCTCCCGGTCTGAAAGAAATACTTGTACTTGCTGCCTTCCTCGCGCAGTCTTGTCCGAATCACCTCTGTGGAGACAAACAACACATGATTTTTAGGTCACCTGGCGCTGCAATCAGTTGCGACAAGAGGCGTGCCTGGTCCAAGTGTTTACCATGTGGGTAGGCTATGCAGGATGCACACCCCTTTGAGAAAGCAGCTGCCATCATCAAGCGTAGGAAGTCAGACGCTTTTTTCTCATTTTCATTATTTGGGGATGACAGCTGATGGTCAGCAAGCCGCTTCTTGAGCGTCTCATAGATGAGGAAGCAGATCATGGTCTCAGAGATGCCGGCGTAGGAAGCGGTCAGGCCACGGTAGAAGCCCCGGACGCCCTCCGTTTTGTAAACATGGCGGGCACATTGCAAGGCATTCATCTTTTTCTCTCCCCGGGCTCTGAAAAGTCAAACAAACGTTCTTCAATTACTGACAAAAATCGCAATGGGTTATTTCGAGGACCGTCTTGCCATTTGATCGAAACTTGTTTTATTTGAAATGTGGAACATGAAGAAATTAAAGAAGTTTTTTCCAACCACTGGGTCACGGAACAGTGTCGTGCCTGATCCAATTTCACATCCTCAGCCACCATCTCATTATCACAATTATCATTTGTTTCCTATAAATAATTTATCTTGTTCATTCATCCGGACGAACAGCATATAGTGATCGCCCGAACATTTAAAGCTTGTCCACTAGAGGGCAGGAGGTACAATTTATCTGTGTAACCTATTGCTGTAAATACAACACTGTGATATTGTGTAATATACGCACTGTAAAAGTTGTTCCATGAAACTTTGTTTGATTTGCTCCCTTCAAGCGTAAGCTTATAATCACACGCACGACATACAAAGATTAATTCCAAGTTCTGAAATGTATACATTTATCAATACGTTATGGGAAGGTTGTATTTTGCAGTCAACAATCAAATTGCATCAGACTGATTTGTGTTCGACTTTTGTGGCAAGCCTCTTCTAAACTGTGCTACAAACCCCAGTTCCATTCGAAACCCCCATGTGCATGGTTCCCATTTTTGACGTCTCAGTTTTCAATAACATTGCCCGACACTTGCTCCATTCGAACTTATCCGGTCAATTCAACACGAGCAAGTTACGAGTTGGCAGAAACAGTGAGTGTGCACTCAAAAGTTAACACAGGTTTTTTTTTTTGTTTTGTTTTTTGCGTGAGGAATGTGCTTCTTATATAACTGTAATCCATGTATGTATAAAGGGCGTTGAGATTTCAAAACTAAAATTACCTTGACCACACCCGCAATTCGGTGTTTTGTTAACCCGGTTTTGCACACCGAATATTTTGACGGTATTGCAGAAAATAGAGTGTGTGCGTGCGTGTGCGTGTGTGTGTGTGTGGGTGGGTGGAATAGATGGATTTTCATGTTTAGGAAAATCTGGCCATATATTTGTCAATGGGGGGTAGTTTGGTTGGAGGCAGGAAATCATGTTTGTAAAATATGCCGTGTTGCAATGTGCAGGAAATGTCATTTTTCTGAGAATAATCTCATGGAATCGGGAGTGTTTTTCAAAATAGCTCTTCAAATATTAATCATCAGTTTATCCTTTTGTTATGCAAGAGCTGTCAATTTCTAACTTTTGAGTTAAATGAATAACGAAGCGTCACAGCGTTTCGCTTGAAATGTTCCAAGACTTTTCCTCACCTGGACGAGTCTTATCTTGTTGGCAAACAATTGACAACCCCGCACCCAACCCCCTTAAAAATAAATTACAAAATGAATTAAAAAAAAAAAAATTCTCCTGTGACCTTGCATATTCAACCCTACGCCAATGCAAGTGTAAATATAGACTCTTCTTCTGCACACAGGCCAATGCGTGCGTCAGAGCTGTGTATTTACGGACACAGATCACAAGCTCAGAGTCACGTAGTGAATGGCTCAAGGACAGCAAAGCGGCGGAAGGCGGTAAGCGTTGCTGTTGTAAACGACATTCTACACACGCACTACTTGCGTTCAAGTAGACGTGTAAAATTGCAAAAATTCTCACAGCACAGAACAAAAAAATGTCCCACCTCAATTTACTCACAAATTCACTTCAAAATCTAAATCTGTGTAGCCGAACAACTGTTTTGTATTCTGTTGAATGCGTCCTAACAGGTGGCTACACAGGTTATTTGTTCCATCTGTCATTTCAAGACACAGCCTTTAATTGGTCTAGCTGTCACGTCGCTGGCAAAGATAGATTAGCAAAGATGAATTAGTTGGGTGGAAAGGGTGGTGATCTTCCACTTACAGAAAAATGGAAATCTCCTTGACGCACTTGTTGCTCTCTCATTTTAATCAAAGCCTGCCACACACGTAGCAATGTGTCCGAACCCGAATGAAATGTTGTTCAGCGCGCGAGGCTGGCCAACGAATTTTAATGAGTGGCCAAAAGTCAACCGCTGCTTTTGAAATTTTTAATCACCTGTGTGGGGGCAGTGCAAGGTTGCCGATTAACAGCTAATTTATTGTTTGCATGACCCAGCCGAGCCACACAAACACTGGATATACAGTATTCACATTGTGTCTTATATTAATACTTAACTCTGTTTATAATGTCATGCGTACCTGTGGATGAAATGGTGCAGTCTCTTTCACCGCAATACACACAAGCAACGTACAAAGTGTGCCAGGTACAGTCAGTGAATAAGCGAGAAGCCTCTTGAGTGTTTTGAAAGGCGCTTATAAATAAAATGTATTATTATTATTATTATTGTTATTATCAAAATATGCACACGGGCTCCTTTTCTCTCACCCACTTCCCCTCTTTGACAACCCACTTCTTCCTTGACAATCCTGCAATGTTTTTATGGTTTAATAAAAGTTATGCAAAATGGTGTACTGCACGTAGAGCCTCAAAACCCATTACAGGGTTGGCGGTGCATTGGGAAATGCGCAGAGCTCAATCCTGCAGTGTGTAGGCGTGAGTCTGCAACCTTTTTGTGATGGTCTCTTCCAGTCTGGTTCTGTCGTGTTGTGTGCTGTGAGCCTAACGTGCCGTTCCACAGTGGTTGGGAATTACTGGTGTACTCTATGCAGAGCCAGAAGCTTCACACAAGAGCACACAGAGCAGGTGCACTTAAAGCCTGTACTCACTTTTTCTCCAACTGCATCCTAGTCTTGACCATCCAGACGGGGTTCATCAGGGAATTTGTAACAAAAGCTGAGGGACAAACAAAATGTTTATTCCACTTATAAACCATTCTAAGAGCAAGAATCTGCAAAATAGTTTTTCACTTGTAATGTCAAAAGCCTACTAAAGCATTTTACAGTCTGCTAGATTACATGACATGGTTTTTATGGTGTGAGTGTGTGTGTGTTACTATGCTTGAGGCTCACCTGCAATACCAGCAGAGGACATGTGTACAGCACCACTATTGGGAACCAGCATCCCATTGAAAAGCTCTTTGGATTTGGAATATGAGGCAAAGTAAATGGCTCTGAAAACATAGGAGAACAAACTGTTGAGAACTCGCGCCACAGAAGGTGCCGGAAAGATTTGCAACGCATTGTCGTTCTACGAAATCTGTGAATGTGCTTTTATAACCCGAGTGCCATTCATGATGAAAGCGACTGTGGAGAGAGCTTACATCCAGACAAGTGAGATCCCTGCACCTCACTTCGGGAACACTCTGTCACCTGATCCGAATGGGCTGACTAAGCACTGAGAGCCCCAGTGGCCACAAGAGCTGGTTTGAATGGGAGCACGTCCAAGTTGGCTAGTGGATCGGGATAGTGGCAACAGAAAAGATTTGGGATGCGGCTATTCATTAGGCGGGGGGCAAAAGTAACCCCATGAGTGTCTTCGGCCAGCAGTCTCAAAGTGCAAGCAATGTTTTGCTGTGCATTAAGACATTGAGGCTAAAGGCTAACAGTATCAGACGGTGGAGGGTGTGTTTGCTTCTGGACACACTAAAAATGAGGATGTGAATCGAAAATACCATAGAATCAATAGAAAGCCTTTACTCCTTTTTTTTATTCTCCTTTGGAGAAAAACAGCAGAATCGAGAAATAAATATGAGACAAACGACACAAAAAACAAAGTGCAGCGCAAATGGCAGTAAGATACAAATTATATGTTTAGTCGAAGCGGAGTGAGTCACAATAATGTCAAATAAATGCTAATGTGAGTTCAGTGCAGTCATTATTTCACGATTTGAATACAGCAAACAAAGAGGGAGTTTCGGGATCAAACGGAAAAAGAAATGATGACGCAAACATGAAAGTCCTCACAGCACACAAAAAAACCTGAGTTAATATGAACGGCAGGGGAACTGGTAAAGTGACACCGAGGACAATGTTTTGGCAAACGATGAAAAAGAAAGTGTTTTGACACATGAATGCCATCGCCAGTCTGAACAGTTTCGTTTGACTGTGCAAACACTTTGAAAGAAGTCAACATGCTGAAATTATTACTACCCAATAACATGTCGAGTCTTGAGAGAAGGATTTCGTCAGCACACCTTAAAGAGTGTTTATGTTTGATTCCTGCGCCATTTTCTTGGACTTGTCATTTTCTTTCTTTTTCAGTGTGGCTCATATCTATATTCTTTCAACATTTTCTAAGAAAAATGCTCAATAGTGTGTGGAAACTACGGCTGGGTTATCGAATTAAATTTCCTAAATTGATATGATTAAAATGGGCTTTATTCGATTTACGATTCATTTTGAATGATTATCGATTCAGTTCAGGATTTTGCGTATCACCAATTTTACTTTCATATAGAAGAAGCAATGCTGCAAATAGAAAACTTTTTGATCTAACTAGGTCCATCCATGCATTCATTTTCTACCGCTTATCTGGGGTCGGGTCGCGGGGGCATCAGCTTTAGCAGGGAAGCCCAGACTTCCTTCTCCCTAGCCACTTCTTCCAGCTCTTCCCGGGGAATCCCAAGGCATTCCCATGCCAGCTGGGAGACATAGTCTCTCCAGCGTGTCCTGGGTCATCCCTGGGGCCCCCTGCCGGTGGGACATGCCCAGAACGCCTCACCAGGGGGGTGTCCAGGAGGCATCCTAATCAGATGCCCGAGCCACCTCATCTCTCGACGTGGAAGAGAAGCGGCTTGACTCTGAGCGCCTCCGGGATGACCGAGCTTCTCACTTTATCTCTAAGGGAGAGCCTGGACACCCTGCGGAGAAAACTCATTTCGGCCGCTTGTCTCCGGGATCTCGTTCTTTCGGTCACGACCCACAGCTCGTGACCATAGGTGAGGGTTGGAACGTAGATCGACCGGTAAATTGAGAGCTTCGCCTTTTGTCTTAGCTCCTTCTTCACCACGACAGACCGATACAACGTCCGCATCACTGCAGACGCTGCACCGATCCGCCTGTCCATCTCTCGCTGCCTCCTTCCCTCACTCGTGAACAAACCCCCAAGATACTTAAACTCCTCCACTTGGGGCAAGATCTCCTCCCCCACCCTGACTAGATAATACAAGGAGCCATCTAACTAGGTCTAGTAAAAAACAAAAAAAAAAAAGATATGGAATTGAACAAAATGCAGTTACATTAATCGGGTACGTTTTGTTGAACATGTCCTGCTCAAACCAATGCACAATAATTTAAATGAATTCCAGCCACAGGGTAGGCTGTGTAAATAAAGTGTCAAGTCACATGAATTTATGGAAAAAAAAGTATTAAAGAGATAGATGTGGGTTTTTTTCTATTTGATATAAAAAGGAAATCAATTCTTTTTTTTTTTTTTAAACCCAGCCCTAATGGGAACATGTTTTCCAATTCCTGCTAACCGACTGAGAACTGGAGTGAATTAATGACAACAGCTTTCTGTTTACTGTATACGGGCAATCAAACTAACAGGTGTGTGACAAAAGCCTTGGCTTTTGGGGTTGTGGTGCTTTTGTTTTTGAGTACAAGGACATTCTCATCGTGCGTAATCAATGACTTGCGCACCAGCTGGCAAGCGCCCCAACATTGCCACATACTTCGACTTTGCGCTTCAAAAAATACAATTATGTAAACCCGGCGGGGGTTGCCCGAATATGGAAGAAACTCATGTGTGGAGTGCAGCGTTTGCATTACCTTGAGGGAGCCACACCAACCAGATTTGGCCCCAGACCACGGAAAAGAGATCTTGGTCCCTCTTTCTCGAGGATTGATCTGAAAGACATTTAAAAAAAAAAAAAAAAAAAAGCAATAGGTCAATGTAGGTTTTTGATCATGTTCTCATGGGAAGAAAAAAAAAGTCCAATCATGCAACGAAGTGCTTTTCTATTAATGGAAGAGATATTATAACACCCTCCTAATATGATGAACATCCTCCTAATATGATGAAGTGTTACATCACAAGTACTCCCCTGAAACCGATCCACACGGACCTCCCAACTCACATGCACTTGGCTCGTCAGTCACAACCCCCCCTCCCCCATATTTTTAACTTGCTGTGACCTTCATAATTCAGATGGCTGGGAGTTGCATGCGGTGGGAAGCAAAGCAGTCTGTGTTGACTTCTGGAACGTACACCCTGTCTCCAAAAAGCGCATTAGCCCACCGAATTGTTCTCGGCGTTACAAAACACCTGTTCTCCAACAACAGCCGGGTCAAAATGAAACCGTCTGTTATGAGGTCAAAGTCAGTGACTGACGGTTGTTTATGGCTGACAAGGTATACTATCCTAAGTGTTATCTGGTACCAACGTCTGTCATTGCAAAAACATCACAAAGTATATTTGGGAGAAAAACACTCAAGACCTGAACTGGCATGCTAAAATGTGTTGCATTGGCACTTATTTTATCACCTGTTTGGGTGTCGCGGGTCTTAACATTTGGAGTCTCAGTTGACAGCATAGCAGGCCAGTTCTCAGTCTCCGTCATCTGGGTGTAATTTAACACTGCCGCTGCAGCACCCCGTTAAAAAAATCCTTTCGCGTTTCCTGAGCTCTTCCCTGAGCCAGCGTTATTAAAAAAAAAGTATATACTGTAGTTTGAATTGCCCCACGAATGTATTTTATTGCCATTTCAGGTAGAAAATCCTGGTCCATGTCACAGTATTCAGCTGTTTAGGGAACACCAAGCGAGAGCAGGACACAGTGTACTTAATCCCGATTTATGGACGACAAGATTAATGGCAGGACTATGCCACGATTTTTTTTTTTTTTACCCGGAAAGGAAAACACTGCATAGAATTTGTTTTGTAACCACTCCCAGAAGAAAAAGTTATGTAGACTGTATACATAACAATATAAGGACCCATTTCTTATTATGATACTCCTGTGGCTTTTGTGGTGTCATTAAAAGCCTTCACACGGTCTGGTGAGGAAGTTGTGCCGCCTACATGTGTCGGAACAAAGTGTTCATATCATAGGTCGAGAACTGCTGATGCCTGAAAAGCATACGCAATGCAGCATGGGGCAATAGGGGCTGTCTGACAACATTTTACCGTAATACTTGCACCAGCCCAGGCGTAACAGTGCCTGGTCGGATGACCCCGGTCCCAGTGAGGGTGCCAAGTTGGACCTGGAAGACGGGCCGGAGGGTGAGTCCCGAGGACTGTAGCCTTGTCTTCAACACCTCCAAAGGGCAGGTCACGATGGCTCCCACAGTACCGCTACACCTGCAAAACAAAGTGTGTGTGTGTTGGGGGGCAGGGGGGTAGACTATTGAGTTGTCATGTTCGATCATGGTATTTAACACATTAGTTTCATTCCTAGTATGGAAACCCTTCAGTTGAAGCCCCCCGCACCCCCAAGACCAAAATAAGTGTATCTCACATGACCAGAGAACTTTTAGTGAGTGTCAAAGGATTAACATTGCACTTGTGCTCTGCCTTTGGTGACGCATGTTTCTTTTTGCAGGGAGGAAAACCATTCATTTCAAATATCCTGACGCAGTCATTCCCAACAAGTGTGTCACAGGAAATTGTACGGTTTCACTGAGTTGATCGGAAATATCTGATCACTGTGTGTCTTTCTTCTATCCCTGCAAGAATTCAACAGGCTCAGATTACGGACTGAATAAGTAAAAAAATGGTGACAAAATACAAACGAGATCATGATTTCAGTCCACGTATATACTTTTTGTCACATTTTTCTTTGATGATCTGTGCTGACATTTGTTTTATGTAAACTATGCCTCGGCTCAGTAATGAATGGAAAACCTTGCTGTTGTGGAGTTTTCTGGAAATTCCTCTAGTTCTGGTTTGGGCAGGGGTAGGCAACTCCACTCCGAGAACCGCAGTACTGCTTGTTTTAGAAGTTCCCTCTTCCAACACACCTTATTCAAATGATGAGAATCACTATTAGGCTTTTACAGAGCTTGCTGATGAGCTGTTCATTTGGATGAGGTATGTTGCAGCAGGGAGAGACGGAAAACATGCAGGGCTGCGGCTCCGAGTTGCTCCCCCTGGGTTAGGGATACATCGACACTGATACTGTACACACCAATACCACATCGCCAGCCTGACATAAAATTTCAAGGTCACAGCCATGTCAGTCATGTGCTTGTAGCAAGATACTTTAAGAACACGGATGACAACACTTTTCGGCTACTGCGAAGGCGAACCCTTTAGACCGCTACTGAGGTAGACCTGCGACTAAGGCTGCTGTTTGCAAGCAACCAGGTTGGGGAGCTTCACGAGCCGCTCGCATGCACAGATATGAGTCGCATTATTTCTATGGTCCAGGATGATTGATAATTAGGTGCTCATATTGTGTTTATGTCTTCTATCTTGTTGTGTTCAGAATAGTTTTCATTAATTGTTATAAATCAACTTTGATCTTGCGCCTTGTCGGTAAACACTGGCTATGTTATGAGAGAATCTTAACTCATTCACTGCCAAAGACATAGCTATGTCTTTTCACACTCCACACGTTCAACCCCAGATACTTTTTTTTTCTTCAATTTTTCCAAGACTGAGGGTAAAAAAAAATGGGGTCTAGAATTGGCTGGTACTGAATGAGTTTTAATAATTTCGACAATCCTGACATTGAGCCACAGTAAATCTCACTGATGTGTTAAATAGTGTAATTCCAGACACTGCCGTGACTTCAAGGGTAAAATGGCGTCAATGGTGTCGCTTCTCGTCCCCACGGAAAGTGACATTTTTTTTCGAAGGACGAGGGGGGGGGGTCGTAGCACGACAAGCAACAAATGTATTCGAAAAGGTTCTGACCGTCTTGACACCAGCAGGAAGCCAAGATGCTGGCGAAGATCCTCTCGTTATATAACAGCAGCAAACTACAACCCGTGCAGATCCCGCCATCGTGCCAAGAAACCGCTGGCTAAACTTCTACCTTCCAATGGCAGTTTTATGGCGCATTTCAAGCACAAAACGCAACGTTGTCAGATCCGAATATGACGCTGGGTTGATGTACGATAATCCGTGCCAGGTTTAGCTGGCTAGCATCCGCGATGACGTATCGTGAGATATGTACGTGATGTGTAATGAAAGTACTGTATAATGTTGCCGGGTGACTTCATAACATGTAGGTTTCCTTACTGTTAGTAAGTACTCAGAATGCATTCAGTCTGTGTGCAAAATATATACAACACGTACGGAAGAATATTAAAAACGTTAGCTCCGAATGATAATGACATGCTAACGCGAGCCAGCTGATGCTAACCGTTAGCACCCCGGCTAACGGTCCTGTACAAGCCCATGAACTGTTTGCTGACTGTAAAATTGTTATTTAGTAGCAGCAACGCGGAACGGGTATTTATTTTCAATAGACGTATAGTCTAGAAATTCCCCGTTTAGAGGAGGCGGCATTACACGGACTTACTTACCCTCCAGCAAAGAGATGCAGAAGCGTGTCTTTCTGGGCCATCTTCCTACTTCTTCTTTTTTTGGAATTTTCTTTTCAGACAGCCACCATGCTGGTGTAATATGTCTGAATACACTCGCTCTGGCGCAGACCAGGACTCGTTCGGTGTACCAGCGCTCGGCTTTTCACGTGTACGTGCTGGCTCTCTGTGAGCCGGCTGGGCGGAGCTGTCGGCCAGAGACAGACCTATTGAGGAGGCGTCGCCCACGATTACGTCAGTAGGCCGGATGAGGGCGTTGTCTATGACGTAGACACACGTGCTCGGGACACCTCGTCTGCAAGCTTTTCAAGTCTTGCTTTGGTGTTGCTCCAAACGAAGGAACAAAAGCAGCACGAGGTCACTCGTATTGAACCTGTTGTGAAATTGATACCGCGGGTAGTTAATACAATGGCTGCTTGTGGCGATGTTGAATTTCTCTGTCTACAAAATAGCAGTGGTGGGTTATTTGCGTACAGTTTTCGTTTAAGTTATATTGCACTTTACTTGAATATTTACTTTACTTTTACTTCCTACGTTGCTTAATTCATATTCCACAAACGCAATATTAATCAGAATGACGTGTTAGGACTAGTGGGGGTGCATAGGACGTATTATAAAAACATAAAAAACAATGATGATAGAAGCAACCATTCACACCTATGCACAATTTCGAGTCTTCAATCAATCCCCATATTTTTGGACCGTGTGGAAAAGCCAGTGTACCTGTAGAAAACCCATGCAAACACGGGAGAACATGCAAACTTAACACAGAAAGGCCAGAGCTGAGATTTAAACCCTGAACCACAGAACTGTGAGTTGTGTTACCAGTCCATGGTCTCGCCCTTTACAGTTACAGTTGCAGTGCAGCATTCAAAAGCTTGATCACAGTAATGGTAAAAATGACATCGAAATACTTCAAATGACCTTAGATCAAGATCTTCAGTTCAATCAGAAAACAATACAGCACTTTGGAAGAAAAATAAAGAAAACAATTCAATTATAATCTAACAATAGATATGGATTCAAAGAAGAAGGCATCTTTTAGTACATCATTACATCACAGAAATACCTCCACACTTACAACACTGTGTGTATTGAGTTGTCCATACTTTTTTGAAGGTCATATTAAGTTCTACTGTTGGGGGGGGGGGGGGGGGGGGGGGGGGGGGGGGTGCGGCAAAGCCCACATATTATTTTGCTCATTCAGTTGTACAATATGTGATCTCGTTCTGCAATAGCGTGTCCCAGTGTTTACCAGCCAGATGTTTATCTCCCAGCAGTTAGCCTCCTCTCGCTGTGATAAGAGCGGGAAATAACAGAACAGTGCAAGAAAAACGACATGATCTTTCCTACTGGGAGAACAACAACAAAGAATGTTGCTGGTTTGGACTTAGGTGGACATGTGACACAGGTCCTGCTCCATGGTCCATAAAGAGTGAGGTTATGGTACAATCTCAAATATAGCTCAACAATTAGCTCAGTTCAAAACAACATGTAGGACAAAAAGTCAGTCAGCTATATCAGCATTTGTATATTTGCAAACAAAATACTCTCAGCAGTGACTTTGCATAAGGTTTTTTTGGTCTTTGGTAACAGACACCGGAGCTACTGACACCAAGTGAGCAAATATAAAACATGCAGCTGTACGCACAGTGTATGATGAGATACTTTGTTCCGTCATAATTCATTTTCTGCCTGTTATCAAGTGCAATGTAGTTTCAATGTAGGTCTTAATAAACCTCATGTAAACATTAAACCACTATGATGATTCAACTCATGATCTGAAACTGAAACAACAGTGAAAGGCACAAATAACCTTGAGTTACACACCCCGAATATTCCACCACTTCAACTGGTATCCTTTAGAGCAGGGTTACAAGCAGAAGGGATATATTTTCCTTCCACTTGGTCTCACACGGCAAAAAAGGTGGGAGCCGCATTCACATTAAACTTTGATGGCAAGTCCTGTATCATCATAATATCATCCTGTGGGATGGAAATGGCCCCCGAGCCACGAGTTTGAGACATCTGCTTTAGCACAATGCACACCCAGATACATTTAGTTTGGAATTAGGTTTAGCATATGGTGTTTCATTGCAGCATGATTGGACATCGTGAGTCAACTTTGTTTTTGTCAAGTCAAATGTCTTCATTGTGATTTATGTCTCACAGTATTATCCACAAACACTTTTTTTACTAACCCAATTCCGATATCATGTTCAACCCACATGTAACTAAACACACGACATAGACAAGATATTTAATGTTCAAACTGACAAACTTTCTAGTTTTTAGTAAATAATCATTTACTTTGAATTTTATCGATTCAACACGTTCCAAAAGATGGGACAGGGTCGTGTTTACTTCTGTGTTGCATCACCTTTTTTCTTAACAACATTCAATAAACGTTTGGGAACTATGCACACTAATTGTTGAAGCTTTGTCGGTCACATTTTTTTCCCCATTCTTGCTTCAACAGTCCGCGTCGTCGTATTTTGCGCCACACGTTTTCGACCATGATGGCCCTGTCATCACAAACAACACAAAAAAAGAAAGAACGGTGCCATAAACCAGCAGTACAAAGTTATTTTAAATATCTAAATGTTGTTCTGCGATTGGCTGACAACCAGATCAGAGTGTGCCCCGCCTCCTGCCCGAAGACACCTGGGACTGGCTCCAGCACAGCCACGACCCTCGTGAGGATAAACATTTCAGATAACATATGGATGGACTGACATCTAAATGTTCCTGACCTTGGTTACAATATTCTTTATTACAAAAATGAGGACACTTAAAAGTATGGCTCCTCTCTATAGATTACACACCAGAGAGTCATGCAACAAAATAATTTCGCTCCATATGAGAAGATAAAAATTCAGGCTTCGTAAACATGCTTGACGATGCCGAAACAATACAAATCTCTCTACAGCTCGAAACACGACAAACAAATGTGTCCCGTTATGTGAGAACGAACTCGAATCTGGCTCACCGCAGAAATCTGTAGCGATAGCGTCTTTTGCAGGTGAGCAACCGGAGCGCCCCACGTCACATCCAGTCGTAATTCTTCATGGGCTGAGTTTGTTCCAACCTCCATGTACATTTCCCCAGTGTGGGACAAATAAAGGATATCTTAATCTTATATGCCAACTCACGCAGTTCTCATGAACGCCACCTCGATAAGAGTTCAGTGCAGCTATTCAATAAATCGGTTTAGTGCGCAACGTGCCAACTAATAACTATGACTCAATTCTACGAACACAAAGAGCACACAGAATAAACAAACTCCTCGCCGTGAAATCAATTGCATTGGAAGACAGACGTCCAACCTCTTTCCGTGTCGAAATCACAGCGCAGCAAACCTGATTAGTTGGACGTTGGATGAACGGAGATGGAGATCGATGGCTTCCGTTTGTTTAACCAAATTATGATACAGAATTTTTCATCTAATTTTTTTTAGACAAACTTTACACTATTTGTTAGATGCAATATTTTTACACTTGAGATTTTTTTTCTTACATGTTGAATTCCAATGGAGGAACGGTGGTCGACTGGTTAGCACGCCTCCATTCACAGTGCAGAGTTCGATTCCTGTTCCAGCCTTCCTGTGCGGAGTTTGCATGTTCTCGCCACGGCTCATGGGCCTTGTCCAGATATTCCGGTTTCCTCCCCCATTTCGAAAACATGCATGGCAGGTTAATGGAATACTAAATTGTCCCAAGGTGAGATTGTGCCCTGGATGGTTGTTAGTCTGTGTGTGCGCCCTGTGATTGGCTGGCAACCATTTCAGGGTGTACCCCACTTACTGCGCAAAGACGGCTGGGTCAGGCTCCAGTACGCCTGTGACCCTCGTGAAGATAAACAGATTGAAAAATGGAAATGGAGAAATGAATTTCGATGAAGGAAAAAAAAATCTGTGCCAGAAATTCAAATTCCGATGGCACAGATATACTTGAACACAAAACAATTCACAGATCAACCAGAAATAATCTTTAATAGATACAAACATCTACATCGAGATAAAAATAAAATGCAAGCAGTAAGGTCAAGACAGTCGTGGCACATGGAGTGCTGACTTAAGATCATGGAGATACATGTTGAGAAACACCAGAATCAGGTCTGATATGATAGCGCTATTTGTCGTTTGACAAAGTTGGCAGCAGAGGACTTTACTTGCATGACAGAGCAGCACTTTGTGGATTGTCGTTCTGCTTTGTCAATCGTGGCGCTGTAAACGTACAGTTTTGTTGACGCACAAAACAAAATCTGCTTTTCCCCCAAGCAAAACATGTGCCCCGATATGTTCCGGTTCCATTCACACATCTCAACGAGCTGGTTTTTACTTTGTGCGCTCAGTGGTGATGGTTGCTGTGGGAACAACACAAGTCAAAGTGGCACTAAGAAAAAAAAAACGAGACTTTAAAAAAAAAACAATGCAATCACAAACAGAAATATTTCTTGCAGATGCATGCTATGAATGATCACAGTGACATATTTCAGAGGATTTCTGCTGATGTAGTTAGTTCTGTCAGATGCCTTGAGTGTGAGCAGGAAATTACGGGTCAAAGTGTAGCTACTCTCGCTGTAGTAGTCAGCATCTCAGGTCAATTGCAAACACAAAAGCCTGCGTCTATTTAAAAATCATTTCTTAAAACAAAAGATAGCTTCCCTCCATCTTTAAATAGCTTATTCTCAGGGATGTCGGGGAGCTGGAGCTCGTCATGCTCATGTTTCCATGACGCGCGTCAATGCTGCCATCTTGTGGCCATTGTGCAACATGGCACATCAGTGAAATATTTTATTGCGATCAAAATATTAAAATATTACCAATACAGAGTCTTGAGTTTTACATGAGATACTGACCACTATTGGCTTGACTGTCGAGGCATACCCCCCCCCCATCAGCATGTGCATAGAGCTCAGTGATTCCTGATTTCTTTGAAGTTAAGAGTGGAATTGGAGAAGTCATTAAAACAGGATAAGAACCTCAAAAATGAGTCCAGCCACCATCACAAAAGCATACTTGTTGAAACATCAGTGAGCCCAAGTCTGTCCAACAGGCTTCAGAAATGCTGTCAAACAAGTTTGACCAAAGGAAGATCCCAGAGAAGCACAAGAGAGAAAGGAGCCAGAGAGAAGGGGAGGAGTGTACGCTTGAACTTGAACGTGCCGTCATTGGTAGAGCAGGTAGTTCTTGAGAAAAGCCGGCAAGGGCAGCCTTTGAATTTCACTCAGACGTTCTCTCCCTAGAGCCACCCGCACAGAGCGCCGACACAGGTCCATCAGGGACAGAGGTTCAGCTGGGGAGGTGGGGGGAAAAAAAAGTTACGAGAATGTGATGGATTCAACAAATTAATCAAATCACTGTAACAAAATGGCAAATTGGGGGACAATTTAGTAAACCGTTGTCTGTAAAAAAAAAAAAAAAAAAAAACCACAGAAAAAAATGCTGTATGAAATAGCAGACTTTCCGATGTCAAACACCATTAGAAGTGGTACAATATTGGTGTTCAAGTTTTTGTGGCAAATACATGCCTCAAAACTTGCGAGATTAAACCATCATCGCACACTAAGTCAGCAAATTTTGTCAAACGTCAGCTCACTGATGTGCATCGAGAGCTGATAAGTCCAATATGAGCAACACAATATTAAATACCAAATGCGTACATTATTTTTAACCAAGCAGATGCACTTATGATCCATGACACACTGGTAGAGCAGCTCTATCTACAACCATCTCCAGAATTGTCTGACTGTTAGCGTAGGCCGAGTCAAAAATGTTCTTTGCCCCCTCTAATAGAGGGGGCCTCTAATGGAAATGCAGTCTTCTGATTAAAGTTAAGTTTGTTGAATGGGAACTAAGCAGAAGAACTGCACAACTAATGCCCAACCTTGGGCATTAGTGCACATAGAACATATTTTTGTAATTACGATTTTTGACATGACTTTCCCTTAACATTTAAATGTTGCCTACACTGTGTATGAAGGTTTTAGTGTGACATCATAAATATGATGGTTAAAATAAAGTTTAATTTGAATATTACACTGACAAAAATCTAAATGAAACACTTTTTTTTTCACTCCCATCTTTTTATGACCTGAACTCAAAGGCCCAAGACTTTCCATGTACAAAAAAAGGGGCAATTTCTCTCAAATATTGTTGAATCTGTTTAAATCTGCAGTATACTTTGCAGAGATGATCAGAGCCCCTCACAGATGTGTCAAGACGGCGATTAGAGAGCATGATAATTGCAAAGGTTTGCGCCTTAGGGTGCCCATCATAGAAGGCCACCCTAAAATGTGTCGTTTTAAAATTGCACAGCACAAAGCCAAAATGCTGTCGGAAACCCCTTTGCAGACTATTTATGGTCGGGAAGTTATCAATCAATTTAAAGGCAACCGTGATGGACACTCCTGCAGTCAGGATGCCAATATATATATATTTTTTGTTCGGTGTACCTAAACATGAGCATGTAAAACCAAGCATGCAATTCGAACATGAGTGACAAGTGTGCAGTTTCTTTCTCGCCAGTTAAGAGTAAACGTGTGACCCTCTCTGAACTGTCAATGTAAATACTTCCATTGATTGTATAAAAGCTGAATCAACACAGAGCAAATCAAATCAAATGTAAACGTCAGCAGGTTGTACTTACGGTCAAGTCCGTTTATGTACCGCATTCGTATTTCACAGTGTCCCCACACGGCGCTCACCACTGGGTAGAGCTTGCGGCCTTTCAGTCCACGGAAGGCCACCCCCAGGTAATGGCCATCCACAATGTAACCCAGAGTCCCTTCGTCCATGTCCAAAACGACTAAGAGGGAGTCTGGTATGATGAAGGTGTCATCTGGCTCGAGGAAGGACGGGTACGTTTTTCCAGAGTGATTGCTGTCATGGTACAGTTTACTCCTGCACAAGTCCCAACCCCAAGACTCGCTGTTGCTTCCCACCAGCGCCGTGTAGCCAACCGAGTGCAGCGGAGCGTCGCTCGTTGCCACACCCACCACGGCATGCGTGCCCCTCTGACGCATGGCCCAACTGATTTCCCACACATGCAGTCCCCGTGTATAGCCAACGCGGCCGCGGATGGCATCCGTGCTTTGCGCCACAGGGTGCCTGTGGAAAACCAGCTTGTTATCGTCCTTAACAAAGATGTTGAGCGAGCGGTCGTCATTGTTCCACGAATGCTGGACCTGCACGTATGTGCTGGCAGGCGGCATATCCAGCAGCAGGTCCAGTCGAGAAGGCTTGGTGTGATTCAAAGCTTGTAACTCCAGCTTCAGGGGGCTGAACGCCGGATCTCTCATATCAATAGTTTTAATACCACCTGGGACTTTTTGGCCCATACTATGGATATTTAGTGCAGCGGTCTCGTCTTCTTCCTCCTCCCCCCTCCTCAATGTCCACCGGGGGAGTCGTCGAGCTCTGCTCTACCGCTGTGCTCATGCAATCCAAGAAGCAGGTTATTGCTCATCTGTCTGTGGTTTCAGAAGGTCACGACGTGGTTTGGACAGCCTACCTGGAAAGATGCGACGAGAAAAAAAGCAACTTAGACTGACCAGTTCATTACGCTATTTTGCATTCAAGAATCCAGAATGTTTCCCCTTGCCTTTACTATGACCAGTGGCTTTCCCTCCATTCGTAAACTTGGTCATTGTTACAACTTTGGTCTATTTGGATCTCATATACTACATAGGAAAAATCATCCATCTGCTTATTCAATCGCATTATGTCCCAATGCCAACTTCAGTTCACTGAAAGCGGTTGGACTGTTTACAATTAAAATGGTTATTTACAAAACTGAGTTATGTAGAACTGTGGTTTTCAAACTCTGGTTCCCAGACCCACAAGAAACGTTTGGGTAAGGCCGGATAATTCATCAAAATCTCATCACGATTCTGAGTTTGGCTTCACACCATTAAAAAAAAAAAAAAAAAAAAAGATGAATATACTGAATGGCGTGATGTGTGTGCGCGCACAAGTTCCTGCATTGTAAAAGCACTCCGAATGTGTTACTTGCGCCATGCATGTGATTGGACACACGGGTTGCCTACAATGTGATAAAAAAAAAAAAAAAACCATTAGAAGTAATTTGTTCAACCTTTTGTATGGTCTTTTATGTATACACGAGGCTTGACAAGTTTCGCTTGCCAAACCTGCATCATTTATGATTTTTGGGTACGTGCTGCAGCAAGACTGTGCAATTGGGAAATGTGCTGCTGGGAAGGCCTCTAATTGAATTGTAGACAAGAGTTCATTGAGAAGGGCCTTAGCTCGTCTTCTAAAGCAAGTAAACAACCATTTAAGTGGGTCATGTCTCCTCAATGATTGGGAAACAGGAGGAGATGAAAAAGCAAGCAGCGGGTGGCCAGCATTTGAATGTAAACAATCTTTCTCTGAATGCTTGTCCGGCATTCAAAAAGATTAAAACGTGTTCATTCGCTCACTGCTGGGGTTCACACACATCACCATTTTTATTCCCTTTGGTAAAGTGCCACATTTTGACAAACAACTAAATAACCTCGACAAAATAAAAACAACTTAAAAATAAACGCCCACTGAAAAATTTGTTTTGTATTTTGGGCTGTGATTCTGGCCTGGCCTGGGCTGGGCTGCTTGGCGTTCCAATTTTGGGACTGATTCAAGATGCAAGAAAAAGAGCTGAATGGATTTGCTGGTCCAAGGAAACGCAGCACTGTATCTGCTGGGATGCGCATACTTGTTTCATTTGATAAATTAACTGTTTTGTGGTCTACAAAGTACAAGTCGTAATGACATCAATTACGGGAAGTTTAGATACAGCCAAGCAGACCAGTGCTGACGGCATCTATCTTACCAGTTCAGAACTGGCACAGCAACAAGAATTCAGAACATGAAGAGGTTCATTCTCACATCAGAGTGTGAATTATTTTCTCCATAGTTGATCAATAAAATGTTTGTGATTTCTACCAGCTTTACGGTATACTATTTTAAGTTTACTTTCACTCTTCATTTGCCAGACAATAAGCCGCTACTTCTTTCCCCTCGCTTTGAAACCTGCGTTTAATTTCCTGCGGTTCACGAATGTTTACCGACGAGCCTCAAAGCCGGCAATAGATGCGGCCATCGTCTCGTCAGATCAATTAAACTGTCCGAGTCTGCCCGCGTACTGAATCTGCATCAGCAAATTGTGGTTGAAGTGGATACGGGTGAGGGTGGAGTGGGCTGCCTGAGGAGAGAGAATGCAGAAGTTTTTGTGTGTAGCGGTACACGCGACTGTGTGGAGCAATCGATAGTGAAAATGAGCATCTCAAGTCTAGTCATGAGCATAGGGAACGAGCACCATAAATACAGCTCTCTCTGCAGCATGACCCTGGTCTAAATTTGTAATTTCCTCATGCAACAAAATGAACAGACCGAGAAAGGTTCTGGGATATTACTGTGTAATTAGCTGCGTTTGGTTAGAGGTTTAAAAAAAAAAAAAATCTGTGAAATCTTTCTTTGCAAATATTCCACGGAGACCTGCAGTTATTAATGAGAAGCGGCCAATATATGTAAAAATGTGTTTCATAGATAAATTTAGCTGTTGTGTCTCAATCAAGGGCCTTTTGTAGTGAGGGAATTATGGTATGTTTCTACCACACTTTGAGGCAGATTTCTGTTGTGCCGAACGCTTACAAGACTACCTGTCAAAAGTATTTTTACGTAAATCGATACCTGTAATTGTAGTCGAGATAAACTGTCATCTATATTAATGCTTCATTTGCCTTTATTTTCGTATCCTATGTAGTATAATAGATCTGATAGCTGTTGTGATGAAGATTAATTGTTGAATAATAAATTAGAAAATAACCTTCAAAAATAACCACATACTGAAATCCAATCAGAGTTTTTTGAGGGGAAAAAAAATAAACACACTTAGATTATTTCCCCAAATCATTCAACCCTAGTCTTAACATGTACGAAATGTTTTTGTGAAAATACCCTAACAACACATCTTGTCGGTGTTTGGCAGTCTCTTACAACTTGGCCAATGCTTGCAGCAGACAGTCGCGTGCTTCTACGAGCGGAAACAAAACACAAAGTGTGAACAACAAACAAGCGCCTCAAGCCTCATGACCGCGAAACCATTTTTATATTGCATGGACACAGTGCCAATACAAGCCCCCACCTCTCCGCATTCAATTTCATGGCGCAGTCAAGTATGTAGTTTATACGACGCTCCACTATCATGTCATGTAAAGCGAGTACTCCCCCCCCCAAAAAAAAAAAAAAAAAAGAGCCCATTGCATTCTGACCAATTCACCGAATCATACTCGTCATTTAATGGAAACGGTATGGCGCATGATGTCGCGAAACAAGTATCCCCGACCCCATGCAGACAACTCAGCCAAACGGGATTATATTTATAACGTTACAATTAGAAACCATGAACAGAGTCAGTTTCACATTGTGTTTTCTATGACAAGATAGGATTTTGGGAGGAAAGCAATCACAAGTCCAGCGCACTGAACGCTGCCAAAGACAGGGTGCTCATTTATACGTTATGTTGCAAAAGCAGTATCGCCTCTTTCAAAACTCACGAAAATGATCCCTGACCCAAAGTGTGCAGTTCCAGGCAACAAATATTTTGCAGCGGTTATCTTGCCTCACCTGAACAACTTTGCGTGAATCGAGAACATGAGCAAGCTAGAAATGCTGCATGCGAGATTTATGAGATTTATGTGACACATCAAAATCAAATCAGTGCTTTTCATGCCGCCAGATATAAACGGCAGAATTGGTTTAGTGTTATTGTACAGTCCATTTTACTGTCGCGATGGTCACCTGCACATTTTTCTGAAAACTGATTAGAAAAATTATTGCGTATTATTTTGTGGACACCTGCCCTCTGGACTCTAATGGTTAAACACAAGTGAACGTTACCACTAATATCAGTATCCAGACACTTCAAACGAACAGGTCTTTATCAAAGTTAGCACTGAAAATTGCTAATTTCCATTCAAGATTTACAAACGCTCAAGACGAAGTGTGTCAGAATTTCCAGGACAGACATCACAAATCATGTATTTCATATCCAAATAAATTACTGGTTTTCCCCTTTGAGAAATCCCCATTAAGTTTAACACATGAGCTTTATTTCCCATGCTTTCATGCGCTCCTCAAAGGATCATTCCAAGGTCCCCTCGTAGCTCCACTGTTGGGGCAACTTGATGTCAACCAAGTTTTCAAAATGGGCACAGTTGTGCTCGGGAAAGAGGAAAAAGGTATCACATTTAATCAGGTTGGGTGAGTTGGAAGATCGCGCCACAACTGTGGCGTTTGTCTCTGCCAGGAATTGTCAGATGCTCATAGCATTTTGAGGAGGCCTGTTGTCACGGTGAAGCAGGCATGAGGTGTATTGCCACAACTCTAGGAATAGGCCAAGTGAAGCGAGGCGAGGCTTCAGAGTGGGTCTCAAACAAAAGGTTTGATCGCCTTCGCAATTTTGACAGTTTTAAACTCATACTTCTTAAAGGTAATTCATTAACACTGTACTCACAATGTTATGTTTATGACTCATTCCATATTTGCGCTACACCCCTATTGTAATCCTGCTCCTTATGGTTGTCTTGTCACTATTTAGCCTGCAATCATATTTCCTTCCGTGTATATGTGAACCTTTAGCTGAAGCAACACCCCTAAGTGGTTTCAGACTTTCTATTTTGCCCATCACCAAATCTCTTATTCAATAAACGAAGCATGTGCATTAGGACCTTTTTACGACAGGCCGGATCGAGTGATCGTTCGACCCACATTGAAGGGGAAAACCTGGGTTTGAAAAATTTGTGACCAGTCCTGAAACTTTTCGGACACACCTCGTCAACTGACGACTGGGTAGTGCTTTCTTAAATAAACGAGACAGTAGCACAACGTTCGCCGCAGTAAACACGTAACGCTTTGTCATGCTAGTCAACGCGTGAGCTAATCTTTCGACTGGGCCGTCTCGACCTCAATTGTGGGTTAAAAACAAGACACCTATGTGAAAAACCTCACCACGCGCACCGCAAAACAAGCAACGCGATAGTTGTATTAAAAGAGCTTATGAAAATGAAGGGCTGCGAACCAGATTCCAGCGTCTCAAATGAACGTTGGAGACACGAGCAGGTGTGTGTTCGTGTACGTGTTCGACAATGGTGAAAATCGGAATCCAACATGAAAGAACCAGACGCTTGTACAGATACCGTAGATGCCAACCAAAAAATGGCTAGATGAAAGGCGTTTATTTTTTTTCTTTTTTTAACAGCCCTTGCGTTTAGAATCAGCTAAACGGAAGCCACAGTGTGTGGTTAGCGTTCGTATGCTGTTTCCGGGTCGGCGTACTTACCTTTGCCCATCCGAGTCCGGACGACCTGAATTAGGTGAAGTGACAACGGCTGCTAGCTAACATATCTTGGGTCACGTGACGAAGTGCTCCCAGCTGGTGCTGTGCTCGTTAGGACCTCCCCGTTCTCGTCACTGGTAACGAAGACGCACATCGAACTCCATCGGTGCTGCCGTTCTGATCGTTTATTTAATTAATATGGGTCATTTAATTTCGGTACCGACATGACTCATATTTTTGTTACTCTTTTAAGATAACCAGACATTTAACCATATACTAAATCAAGATAACCATCAATCCTGCACTTTTAAAAAAACTATCAAGATTAAATTAATTCCATCGACTCAATTTTAGAAATACAGTACTACTTTACATTTTTGTATTATGTTAATTACAATATTGCATTCATCCATCCATCCATTATCTGTAACAAATCAATATATCCCAATATTCCAAGCCTCAATTCAATATTAATTCAGCAAATTTTTTGAATCTATTCAGCAACTGGTCAGTTGGGGGTGCTTTAGGCTTTACTGTCTTTCCCCCTTTTTATTTAGGCTTTAGTTTTTCAGTGAATCATATATAACTCATGTTTTTATTATTATTATTGTACTTGTCTTAATTTTAGATGTTCACATATTCAAATGGGAATAAAAGTAAATACTTACACATTCTCAACAGGAACGGTAATCTACTGTATTTGTAATTCTTAAAATGGGTATACATAATGATTTTTTCAAATCTGAAAAGATTTTCTTTTTTAATCTGCGATAGCCTACAGCACGCCCCGTGAGATTTGTGAGGATGAGCGGATTAGAAGATGGATGGATGGAATCTTTGGAAGACACACATAAAGATAACAAATTCGGGCATTTAACACTTTGGGTCGTATTATGTGTGGGGTGCTCCAATAATCTCAACACAACACCCCCCACACGTTTTTTTTTCTCTCTCAGTGTTTCCTCACAAGGGCGGTCAGTGATGGGAGCTGTGGTGGGCTTTGGTCGCAGAGGGTGCTGTGGATGCAGCTTGGCCTCTCAGAGGTCACATTAAGTTTATTTATCAAAAATCGTATTTTCCATCATTTATTTTATTCAATGGCGAGGTGTTTATTGTGACAATTACTCTACCCCAATTTACTTTGTTACCATGTGTAAGAGTGTTTTTCAAGGCTGGAGAGAGGTTGTGTGAACATAAACAAACAATCAAACAAACAAATAACACTTAAAAACGAAGTAGAGTCAAACTTTTTCTTTACAATAAAATGTTCTACTGGCCCAACTACTCTAATCACGGTCCTTTGGTTAATATTGCATTTGTATAATATGAATTAAGCAGCAAAACCCACCTGTTTATATCCAGCCATTTTGTCACGTGCTGTCGACTGAAAATGACATCACAGTTGCTCAGGGTCAGGTAACGACCAATCACAGCAAGTGGCAAAATAGTTGCCCTTTCGAGATTATTAAAAGCAGTGAAAACTTTACCAAACTTTATGAATGACAAGAAATGCCATTATTGGCATCTCTGTCCTCCTCGGGCCTGTCTCCTGATGAAAAAGCCAACGTTACCGTGCAGCAATGAATGTGCTGAGCTAGGTGATAATCTCAGGGCCTTCCTACAGCGGAGGAGAGTAAAGCAAAAAGCTCACTGCCTCTGCTTCAGACGTCGATTAAGCGCCCCTTCCTGGCTTGGAAAAGTGCATGCAGCGATTGTGAATGATTGCATGCAGCGCCAGTCGCTTGGCCAATCTACAGAAGACCTTGCTTTAAAGATGACGTGGAAAAAAATCTATTTTTAATGGTTTTAATAAATAAAAATATTTGGCTCTCTAGATTGCCTGCCCTCCCATCAAGGTGTCAAATCAAACAACCAAGTAAGATTTTATGAATACAACTGCAATTTAACGCAGGATACTTTTTTAAAATACATGGACCATGAATTAAAATGACCCTAACGTGCAATTTAAAGCACATCTTCTTCCTTTAAATATATAGAGTGAAGTACCAAAAAAAAAAAAAAAAAAGGCCTGTGTCCACATCATTGAAAAATAAGAAAGAGAGCAAGGCTACGCGACAGCCATCAGACGCTGTTGCCAGGTGGGCACTTGCTGCTAGCAGTTAGCCACGAACGCCGGAGACTTGTTTTGTAACATACCATGATGATGTATTAATTAACTCGCGGTTTCTTAGTGCCCTTAATTAGCGAAAGAATATGGTTGCAGGATGGCACAGTGTTAACGTTGGTAGCAAATCTGTGACGGCAATAAAAGCTAGGATAGTACAAGTCCGATAAATTACATCACGTTAGCTAGCTACCATGCCACTGCGTATGCATATTTCAAATTAAGGCTAAGTAATGCTATTGCACTGGTGTAAATGTGTAATTTGGTAAACTTTTATTTTGAAGTTAGCCTTTGTGTCGCCGGCTTGTTATGGGTTATGAGTATGTTTGCATCTTCCTTGACATGTCTAAATGATGCCGCTTACACTAAATAAACTGCTCCCGGAGGCAGGAAAAAAGAAGTAGTTTGTCATTTTTTATTTTTAATCTGAGGTACCCGTATTAATGAAGGAGTCATATGAGTATCACAAAGTGCAAGCGAGAAATAGAACAAGAGAAGGTATTGTGAACCCATGTGAAGTCCCGGTACGCTGTAAAAATTCCCGGTATGTAGGAAGCCAAAATAGAGAAAAGCCAGTAATCGGTACTGCTTTGTACTGGCCCGCTTAAAGCACTGCACACAGTGTAGTGTACGAAGGACTGGCTCCATGAGTGAAAATGATTTAATTGTCTTTACAGTGTCTCAATTTTTCCCCACACTCTGAGATCTGCGCCTGTAACCAGACTCGCCATTGGCCGGGCAGTATCTGAGATGAGATTAATTGTAGCTATTCTGCATAAAGTAGGGCCTACCTCTCAAAATGGGCTAAATTCAGCATGACGAGGTGTAGAGGTTTGTAAAGTCTAATAATTCTTGATTCTTGTGGTATTTTGACAAAATAAAATCACACGTATATTCCTAAAACAAATTGTTTGATCCAATAGTTTGACATCAGACCTTGTCCCCCATTAGGATACAAAATTTTAAATTCATATTTAATGTGAAAATATGCATTGACGCATGGCCTAATATTCAGTGCTGCCATCTGTTACCATCATAACAGGAACACCGCATTGGGACAAGGACAGACTGTTGACATCTGCCGCAAGCTCTGACAATGTCTAAATTTACTGTAATGTTTTCATTACAGGCAGTAATATATTGCAACATTTTTAAGTGATGAAAGAGTTGGTCAACTGTCTCCTTTAAAACCTTAATGAATTAATCTTGAATCTCATTCATCTTTAAAAAAAAAAAAAGTGGACACACAGGTCAATTATGTATCTTCTGCCATTTAGCATTTAATTGTTCTGCCTGCCACTATACGTCACTGGCATAGATAGATGACCAAAGATACATTACTCGTAAATAGTTTGACAATAAATCACGATTGGATCATTCCTCCCCACTCAATAAGTGGTTGGGAATCATTGACATAACTCAAGACAAGATATTGTGTTTGATTCACCCCATTGCTGAGAATGCTGCTAGTGGTATGAAAGAGTTGCTGTTGGAGGCATTTCCCCTGCAGGTGTCAGAGTACAGAAGAGAGGGCTCTGCGGGCTCATGCAGCATTGCAGCACTGCATGCTAACATGCATACAGGCTATTCTCTCACATGAGTGGAACACTGCAGTTTTTGGTCAGCTATAGCTAGCAACTGATCAGGACAGTGGCAAGTAGCATGGGGCTGATCCCACATAATGGATGAGATTTACCATGATTCAGCAATATTCAATTTTATCAGGTCAATAAATAGTGGTAAAACACA